ACTTCTGGGAGTTCTCGGTCCACATACTGCTGAAGCCTACCTTGTAGGATTTTGAGCATAACATTGCTAGCGTGTGAAATGAGTGCAATTGTACAGTAGTTGGAGCATCCTTTGGCAATGCCCTTCTTTGGGATAGGGATGTAGACTGATCTTTTCCAATCCTCTGGCCACTGCTGAGTTTTCCAAACTTGCTGCATATTGAGTGTAGCACCTTAACAGCGTCATCTTTTAAGATTCTAAATAGTTCAACTGGAATGCCATCACCTCCACTGGCCTTGTTGTTAGCCATGTTTTCTAAGGACCACTTGACTTCACTCTCCAGCATGTCTGGCTCAAGGTAGGCAGCCACACGATCTCTGTTGTCTGGGACATCCAAATCTTTCTGTGTATTCTTGCCACCTTTTCTTGATGTCTTCTGCTTCTGTGAGGTCCCTACCATTTTTGTCCTTTATCATGTCCATCTTTGCACAAAGTGTTCCTTTAATATCTCCAATTTTCTTGAACAGATTTCTGGTTTATCTCTTTCTATTATTTCCCTCTATTTCTTTGCACTTTGTTCATTTAAGAATGCCATCTTGTCTCTCCTTGCTATTCTTTGGAAGTCTGCATTCAATTTTCTGTAACTTTCCCTATCTCCCTTGCATTTGGTTTCCTTTCTCTTCTCTGCTATTTGTAAGGCCTCGTTGGACAGCCACTTTGCTTTCTTGCATTTCTGGCATGGTTTCTGTTGCTTCCTCCTGTACAATGTAACGAGCCTCCATCCACAGTTCTTCAGGCACTCTGTCCACCAAATCTAGTTGGTTTAGAATCCTTTAAAGCAGAAGTCCTCAACCTTTTTGGGACTGTGGACCGGTTGGGGGTGCGGGCTCTGTGCACTGGGGGGTGGGGGCATCCCCACACTCACAGGTGGGTGTCACGCTTGCAGAGGGGCATGTTGCATGACACGCCCCTCTGTGAACGCAACATGGGCCCTGTGCATGCGTGCATGCATGTGGGGGGGCCAGAGATCTGTCTCCATGGCACAGTTCCAGGAAGCCCATGGGCCAGCATCAGATGGTGGACCGGGGGTTGGGGACCCCTGCTTTAAAGGAGAAGCCATCAGGCACACAAGGTGTTGGACTCCATCTAAGCCTGGTCATCTCAGACTACTGGTCACACTAACTGGAACTGATGGGAGTTGTAGCGTAACAGTCTTCAGGGAGGACATATTTTTCCATCAATAAGACGCCCTCCTACTTTTCTAACCCAGAATTAATTTCTTCACAAGAAAGTGGAGGGGAAAAGCAGAAATCATCAAATTCCTGCTTTCCCCCTCCACTTTCTTCTGAAGAAAGTGCTTTCCCCTTCCACTTTCCCTGCAAGAAAGTGGAGGAGGAAAGCAGAAATCAAAGCACTTTGTTGATTCTTGCTTTCCCCCTCCATTTTTCCCTCTTCACTTTCTTGCACTTTCCTCGCAAGAAAGTGGAGGGGGAAAGCAGGAATTTGATGATTTCTGCTTTTCCCCTCCACTTTCTTGAGACAAAAGGGGAAGGGGAAAGCACGAATCAAAGTGTTTTTATCCCTCCCCCTCCTTATTTCCATGTATAAGATGACTAAATTTTTAACCTAAAGGTTTTAGACAAAAGTATTGTCTTACACCGTGGTACATTGTGTGGCTCTGATTTAGAGCTAATTTCAAACATTGCATTTTATGTCTCTGCAAATATGAAATCATGTCTATTTAGACAACTCCAGTAATAAACAAGGACAATTAAACAACCTAAAGGTGCAAGTGCCACCTTCACATTCCTATGCTGTTGACTCTTCTGCGTGACTTGCCTTATTTCCTTAATTCATCAGTTTCCAGTATATAAGATCTCAGTATCTAACCACTCCATTCTCTTCTCATTCTCTGCATCATTAAACACACCACTGCACTGCATTTTTCAAAGATTAATGTGACTATGCTTCTGGAAATATACAAATTAATTACATTAGACATACTTCAAATCTTTTTCAACAGCCCTATTTTTATTGTTCTCTGGGGCAGCAGAAACATTTCCACATTTGGTTTCAGGTCAATGAGGGAGGATGTAAATATAGATTCTAGTTCTAATTCAAGTTAAAAGGAAACAAAGGCAGAAAAAAGTGGCTATGTTCTGGGAGCTACAAAACCAAGTCAAATTGGCAAAAGTCACTGTTGCCTCACAATATGCAAGAACACTGAGATATCCGCTGGCCAGGAGAAATACACAAGGTCTGTGGCAGAAACTGACAGAGATTTCATAAAACAAGCTCTAGTTAGACATTTATATTCCACAGGGATTTTTTTTTGGGGGGGGGAGTCTCCAGAGGCTAAGACAGCTTGGAAATGTTATTTTTAGACTACAATTCTCAGCCAGCTTATTTATTAATTATGCTGCCTGGGGGATTCTGGAAGTGGCAGCCTAAAAATAATTTCTAAACTCTGAAAATAAACCTAGCTTGTGAACTCTGCCTCTCAGTGGCCAACCCAGTTGGTCACTTTAATATAGATTTTGCAATTTTAGAGACCAATATATATATTTGGTTGCTCTCCTCTTTCTTCTCCATTCCTTTTTTTATTGTGACAAATACTTTGTAACCTGTTGTAGGGGATGGTTTTATTTTAAAATTATCTATACAGTGTTTTTTTTTTTAAAAAAAAAACCTAGGTGTTTCAGACACTAGAAATAAGTCATTACTGAATACATGTCTTCCAGCTCTATGATTCTATGATTAAAACATTTGTCATTTCCTCAAGTCATATTTTCATACAAAACACTACAGATGTTTTCACACTCACAGGAACAATAAGCCCTTGCCAAGTCAATAAGTTAGCTTCATCAACTTGGATATTACGGAAGTTCTTCATTCCACATTTGCGGATTTCTTCAAGCTCCTGCAAACCAAGAACAGCAGAAAGAGTACATTAGCCAAAAAAAAAGGTTGCTAAAGTTCAGGAAGCTTCAGAGATTGCTTTTCCCTTCACCCTGGCCTAGTTTGGAAGCCCATAGCAAGCCAGAAACAGGTACAGTGGTGCCCCGCTTGACTATTACCTCATTAGATGAGTATTTTGTGATCACTATAGCGACTGCAAAACGATGTTTAGATTGGATGAGTATTTTGTGATCACTATAGCGATTGTAAAACGATGTTTAGATTTGAAAAAACCGCTTGACGATGATCGGTTCCTTGATCGGGAACCGATTTTTCGCTTAATGACGATCCAAACAGCTGGTCGTTGGGTCTTCAAAATGGCTCCCCAATGTTTTTCAGGACGGATTCCTCGCTATACAGGCACCGGAAAATGGCCACCCTATGGAGGATCTTCGCTGGATGTTGAGGTATTTCTCCCATTGGAACGCACTGAACCTGTTTTCAATGCATTTCAATGCGGTTTTTTACTTTCGCTTGACGAGGATTTTGTTCTACAGCGATTTTGCTGGAACGGATTATCCTCGTCAAGCGAGGCACCACTGTACTGAGGTTTCCTTCTCTGCACCTCCCTTTCTATTCTCCCTCCTATACAGGTTTTAGCATGAGGATTTTGATTTATTTTACCGCTTTATTAACCAATATTAAGTCAATTATGTTCAGGACACCAGCTTTATAGCAGGTTCTGTATACTGAAGCCAGCACCAAGTTCAGGAGGGAAAGGAATATTGCTGCGAACATTATAATAGCCAATGTAAAATATGTATAGAAAAAACAAAGTCATGTGGTCTTTAGACAATACAAAAGCAAGAGCAGGTGATACCTGTATTAGACCACTAAATAATAACAATAAATAATTGCAATTCCAACAGATGCCAGAGTTGAAGATAACAACAATTGGAGAAATTAACAAAGAGAGACCTGGCAAGAGAAATAACTTGCTTGTGGATGAAACACACTTCGGTGGTCCACACAGTCACTGGGGACACTGGGAACAATGCAGTGGAATTTTATAAAATGTTATAAACAGTTGCAGATCTCTAAAATAACACTATCAGAGCTGCAAAAAATAGCATTAGGAACCAGACACACACTACACTGCTACTTAATTGATACTTAAGTTTTGTTAAAACTGTTATATAATACCAGTCAAAGACTCTGCCTATGATGATGATAGTATTTGGCTTATACTAGTCTTTGTCAGGCTGTACATCAACATATTGTGGAGAAGGAAACAGAAAAAAACATATGAACGTTCCAAAAGTCATGGCTAGAGATGGGCATGAACTGCCCCTTCGGTGGTTTATGCTGTTTCGTCCTTCAAACAGGTGTTCGGTGGTTCCCAGCCTCCCCTTCTCCAGTGGGTGCCCACTCAGAGGCAGTGCCCTGAGGAGGCAGGGCAGGGAGAACCACCAAACACCTATTTGTTCAAGGGACAAACTGGCAGTTCATGCCCATCTCTAGTCATGGCAGTTATCCAGGGCAGAAGTTTCTAAACAGTGAGTTCCAAAATGCAGGCTGCAAATACAAGTCAGGAGTGCAGGTTTCAAATTCCACCCCGGTGACCATCAGTCAGATTATTTTTCCAACTCACCAAACAAAGGGCATTTACAAAATATGTATGCAATACTTCAGATTTAATTTAATGAACTAAGTGCCGTTATGTTTGTGAGTTTCTTTTTATCACTCCTAACACACTGATGCAAGGTCCACAGTTGTTTCTAAACAGTGAGTTCCAAAATGCAGGTTGCAAATACAAGTCACACAAGTAATGAATGGATTACCTATAGCTATGTTCTAAATTAGTAAAATGAAAGCTATCTTTTAAAAAATTACACAATTCCCTCCAAGCAATGTAAATAAGGGGCAGAAGACATCAAATTTGGAAGATGTGAAACCAGAGAAAGCAAAACAAAGTAAGGTCCACAGTTTCACACAAGTAATGAATGGATTACCTATAGCTATGTTCTAAATTAGTAAAATGAAAGCTATCTTTTAAAAAATTACACAATTCCCTCCAAGCGATGTAAAGAAGGGGTAGAAGACATCCAATTTGGATTCATAGGAAGATGTTAAACCAGAGAAAGCAAAACAAAGAGTGCTGTTTATACTGCCTCTTAGTGCTTAAAGCACTCTCTGGGCAGCTTAAAATTTCTGATTATACATGCTACACACTGGCAACACTACTGCCCCTGAGCAAGCTGGTAATCATTTTACCAGTCTTGGAAGGATGGATGGCTGACTACCTGAGCCAAATACCTGAGCCTGTTAGGACTGAATTTAGATTGTGAGAAGAGCCTTGATTGCTCTACTACAGTTTATCTACTTTTCTATGAGACTCAGAGAAGCATTATTTTGCATACATGTACTAAGACAGTAGTCCCCAACTTTGGGCCTCCAGATGTTCATGGATTTCAACTCCCAGAAATCCTGGCCAGCAGAGGTGGTGGTGAAGGCTTCTGGGAGTTGTAGTCCAAGAACATCTGGAGGGCCAAGGTTGGGGACCACGGTACTAAGACTACATGTACTAAGACAGTAGTCCCCAACTTTGGGCCTCCAGATGTTCATGGATTTCAACTCCCAGAAATCCTGGCCAGCAGAGGTGGTGGTGAAGGCTTCTGGGAGTTGTAGTCCAAGAACATCTGGAGGCCCAAGGTTGGGGACCACGGTACTAATCGAGAGCTATGCCATGACACAAACAAGAATACGTATGCCTCCTTTACTGACTACAAGGAAGTCCGACAAAGCAAGCTGATGGATAAACAAAGAAATATGATTCAAGAAATATTCACGTAACTAGCAAACTGTACTGCTAGCCAAAAGCTACACTACAAGTGAATGACCAGAAGACAGAGGACATAAATATATTTTTTAAAGAGTTTTTAAAAAGGGTTATACTCTTGCTACTCAATTTGCACGATAACACCTTCAGAAAAGCCTCTGCTGATCAAATAACAGCATCACTGACAAAGGTAAGGTTATCAAGAACATGACACATACAGACAATTCAGTATTACCAGCTGATTACGTAGACGTTTGACAGGGCATTTTGGAGATCGCTCATAGGATCACCATAAGTCAAGAGGCGACTTGATGGCACCTAACTGCAACATTTAGATAACATGCAAGGATCTGCCTGCAGACCACCCACCATCTCCACTATCCTTACACACAAGCTGGAAATCGCTCCTGTTGTTGTCAACAGGGCTTATGCTTTTACAAAGCAATATTGGATACTGGGGGTGTATGAACACTCTTCCAACAGTGTCTTTGTTATATAAGTGATACAGGGTAATGGGATCCTGGTCTCCGAAGTAAGCAATGAACTAAGTTTCAAATATGTATTTTAAAAGAAGTAAACTGTAGCCAGTAAAAAGGAAATCCCCAAACCCATGTGATGGTGAAACCTAAGGCAGCACAAAATTCACTGTACAAGCTTCAAGATATCACTTTGTCAAGGACTTTGTCAAGCATGTTACAAACATACTGTTAATGGGTGAAAAAATTCACTGCACATGCTACAGCAAAGCTTATCGAGTGCTTCACCCTGAATGGCCTCTAGTTTTGCAGGAAGACAAGGAAGGCCACAGAAAGCAATACATTTTGAATCCTTATTTTCAAAATGCAAGAAACCGCCTTAAAATGCGCAATGTCTGCATCCAATGTGAGGCTCACAGACCCGCTGTGGGAAAACAGCAGAGGCTGTCATGCTTCTGTACTTTCACAGCTGAAGATTTTGGACATCATGCCAGATGGAAGAAATACACTATCTTAAAACCCTGTAGAGACTTTTGTTCCTATTAGTTTCCTAATAAAGATATCATCACACTTGAAGTTTGGAATTATGGCTTCCCCTGATTTTAGTAAAAAGCAAGAAGTAAAAAAAAAATACTGTTAAAGATCCAGAATGAAAGTGTGGAGCAAGCTGACAAATTCAAGTACCTTGGATCATTACCGCACAGTATGAGTCAGAACGGAAATGGCCTGGAGCACATTTTTTGAGATGAAGCATGCAATATGGTACAAAAAAAAATTAAACTGACTTTGAGAATGTGCATTTTATGGCACTATATGTTCTTGTTTCTACTGTATAGCACAAAACTATGCATTTTAACACTGGCTGTTATAAAATTTAATTATTGCAGAATGCTGAGAATTTCTTGATGAAAAGGGGAAGAAACAAGGGAATGAAAAGACCAAGGAATCATAAAACACATAAAATAGGGGAAGTTTGAATACTTTACTCACAGAATAAAAAAACAAAAAGTACTGATTGTTACTGCTGATCATTCAATGTAAACAAAGATCTAGAATGAAAGCGTGGAGCATGCTGACAACCAAACTGAAGAATTTGTGGCTGAAGAATGTGGGAGACTGGATGCAATATAAATTCACTTTTCGGAGCTACAGCATCCAAAACCAGAAATAGTCATGATGCCACTCAGCCTCCAGTACAAGAGGAACTAGCATGTAGAAGATACCCTCCTAGATGTTGTTGTTAAACAAGAGGTGTGTGAATTAATATAGTTTAGTGCTCAGAGTTGCACCACTGTTTAAGAAATACGTGAAACTTTATAGAAGCAAGCTTTATATAAATGAGAACCTGGATTCACTGAAATCTGGGTTGGATGAGGGTCAATAAACTGAGGCTGAATCATACCAAAACAGAGACTGTGTGTGTAAGTGGCTCCCATATTTGATACTCCTGGATCCATCCTTGACACTATACAGAAACTTGGGCAACCTCAGCAGCTCGGAGTGCCTTCTATCCGCTTTGGCTGGTACAGCAACGGTGACCATTTTTAGACAGGGACAGCTTGGGGACAGAAACCCTGCCACTGGAAACTGCAAGGCTAAACTATACTGCTGATTACTCATCTCTAGACCCAGTCAGAATCTCACAGCACATGCTACATTCTGTTATACACAATGCTTTTTCATTGTTTTCTCGTTTACACCTTAAAC